CCCCAAAACCCCAAAACCCCAAAACCCCAAAACCCCTAAAAAGGATCTTCAATAAATTAATTATGCACGTTAAAGAATTCAATTACTGGGGGTGTTATAAAATGGATGGTACTGAGCCGTATTTAGTTGAAGTCACCTTCTCTTAGCCCGATCCTCACTATGGCTCCGAAGTAAAGCAAGTTTTGCCCTTATCTCTGCCTTGCTATCCCTCTTTTTATTTTTAAGAGTTGAACTCCAAGTTGATAGATTAGTGCTCAGATCTTCATCCGGAGGAGTTATTGTATAATTATTGCTCTTAGGCACCATTTCCATTATACTAATTTTCTTTTCGAGATTTGAAAAGTTGTACTTCACCTTATTTCTCTTCTTTCAGAGATAAAAATTCTGGGTCTTGCTCATTTGATTCCTTCTTTCTTCGAGATTCTTTAGTAATTCCTTATCTATCTTTTGTTTCTTGAAATTAAACGGCTTTTGATGAGGATTCCTGCTGAACTTGGAAGTGTTTCCAGGTAGCTTAATGTAACCATAGACTGTTCTTTCGCTCTCCCGGTAAGGCTCTTTTGAATTTAGACTGGGAGTATGGTCATCTGTGCTGAGTCCAAGAACTGACTTTGACCGTTTTGACATCTCACTAATTACTGCAGAGCTTTTTCTTTTCTGTGGGGATGCAATAGGATTAGGGAAAAACATTTGCCTCTTCCTTCTGACCTTATTTAATTGATGTCCTGGGTACAGCTATTGAAGAATGATCCTCTGATTCAATATCGCTGATTGGCACAGATTTTTCATTGTATTTGGGGTTTTTAACAAAAGGGTCAATTTCTCCAAGGCTGATGAATGGTGACTTGCTGTTTCTTTTGAAATTTTCTGGGACAAGAGTAGCCAAATTTTGATTTAATTCTTTGTCAACCCATTTTACTCTTGGCTCAGAGGAATCTTTGCTTTTCAGATCCTGTTCATCGTCCTTAGACGCTTTACGAGTGTTCTTTTTCTGCATGTTGTTTATGATGTTAAGGTAGGTGTTGGAGAGAAGGATCTCTTCATTTTTATACTCTCCTTCCAAATCTATTTCCTCCCAGTCGTAGGAGATAAAATGTTTCTTACTGATCTTTTCGTACATCCTGAGCTGAGTGATAATGGATGGATTTAGGCTGAGATTCGGTCTGAGGAGGTACATATACTCGATAGATTTGGTCATGCTCCATTTGAACTTCTTCATGAAGAACACAACTCATACTAAGATACATCTTGTCATACCACTATTGGAGTGGATCAGGATTACTGAATTACGGTCCAAGGCAGTCTGAATGAAGGTGAATATTTTTGTAATTATTCCAGAGGTAATTTCAATTCCTCTAGGGTACTTTTTCGTATCTTTCCATCCCAGATTTAGGTAATGTATATGTCCATTTTTGAAATGGTTCTCTATTTCTAAAAACTTTAAAGTTGTAAATTTACCTGTATCTGGGCATCAGTTGATTATATATCCAATTTTATTGGAGTGAATAAATGCTAGAATGGTTATACATGAATCTAAAAAGCCACCTACCATCATCAGATGCAGTTGCTGATCCACCGATGAAAATTCCATCTATCACCTAGAAAGCTTTATTATTTGTCAAACATAAGTTTTTACCTTAACTGTCTGTATATAGTCTCTCTTCTTCTTGGGCGGGGAGCTATCTTTCTGAGGCTTGATTCTCATTCTACACCATTAGTCTCCACCAAGCCTAACCACTTACTTCTTTATAACCGTTGCGGAGATCTCTGCGTACATAGCCATCTTAAATATTTTCGTGATATTAATATTCTTCTAGTTTCAGTGTTGAAGAGGAAATTTGGGGTTTTGGGGTTTTGGGGTTTTGGGGTTTTGGGGTTTTGGGGTTTTGGGG